TTGTGAAGATGGATAGAACAATTATAAGGACAATGCTTTGGAAGAATATCTACGTTTTTCTTTTCAAAAACATCCTAGAAATCTTGATACTCACTAGAAATACTACTTGATGTCTTCTCACTATTAGAAATAGGCATGGCATATAAAGCAAAAGATAATTCTTTTTTTTGTGGTATGCATAAAAGCTTTCATATCTACCACTAAGGATTTGGATGTACTAGACTTATATATTTTTACTTGACTAATGGGATTTTGTATTAAACTTTTGTAATAAAGATTATATTTTTGTAATTAAGATAATTTTAAAATAACTGGATTAGATAGAGATCTTATTATATTAAATATTACTATATTATTATGATCTTTAATTTTTATATCTAAAGGAACAATCTCATGCATACCATCTCTAGAAGATAGCAAATAACCATCTATGACTTCTGCATGTACAAGTTTAGTTTTTTTTATTAACAATATCTCTTCTTTTTTAACATAATCTTTGTCTACAAAATAAGTTGAGGCTCTTAAACCTAATAAAGCTAAGACTTTGTGATTTTTTGGTCCTAGATAAACTTCTATTGTAAAAAAAAGGTGAAAGATCTGAAGAGAGAATAGGACCTTTACTAGGAGTTATGCGAGATTCCAACCACATGGTCCCTATTCTAGCTAGAGAATTTTTTTTTCCAATATCTCATCTTCTTTGGCAACCATGCTTCTCATTTTGTAATTGCGTTGTTTCTTTAGACAATGTTGAATAGTATGTTTAGCTTCTCCACAATATAAGCATAAGCCCTTTTGATGTCATCAATTCTTTTCCTACTTTGTGAGGAATTTAAAATGTATTGTATCAATTTGCATTAGTTTTGGCCTTGATGAATAAGTTTTTAAAAACTTAGAAGCTGACGTCATTATTTGATTTGTTCTTCTTCAACCAAATCTTTGTTCTTGATATCTTTTAAATAATTAATTCTCATATGCAATGGCTTAAGCAATAAATTGTTCCAAAGATTCTATCTTGGATATTATCAATAACAAGTCTTTGACATTATCCTTCAATCCATATCAAAATTGATTGATAAGGGCTTTGTCATTTCAATCCATGTCGTAAGTGAGGTTTTGGAATTCATTAGTATATATAGAGGCTGACAATGATCCTTGTTGTAAAGATAAGAATTTAGTCTTTGCTACTTTTTTTTTTATCACTTTCTCCAAATGTGGCCATAAATAATTCTAGGAATGAGTTTAAATCATAAAAGAGTCACAAATCTTTTTCCATTAAAGATACAAATCAAAAAAGAGCACTTCTTGATAGAAGTGCACCTATAAATATGACTTGAGTAAATCCATTAGGATATTGAAAAAGATGCAACCTTAAATAGAGCTTGATTTCTTGCAAAAATCCTCAAAATTTTGATCTTATTCCGTCAAAATTCTTAGGTATACTAATCCTTGTCCCTATCATATTTATAGAAGCAAAAATTCCTAGATTTGATTGTAAGGACAATCTACTTGCTTCCTTCAATTGCACAACTTCTTGTAGTAAACTCTAAACTTTTTCTATAGGCGTAGGCATAATATGTCCATGATTCACATTAGAAATACGTGAGATTTTCATTCTTATAGTATTGACAAGATCATGAAGATCTACAATAGTTCCAAATCTATTCTCACTTCTATTGAGAGTAGCATCCATTATCTTTCCTTCCATATACAACTCAAACAAATTCAAAAAGTTAAATTGAAAGAGAGTAATCTGCAACCTCTAATAAAAATTTAAACAAAAAAGAGTAATCCACTCTTTTTAAAGAAAAGATTAGTGTTAGAAAATAAGATTTTTTTTTTAAAGATGGATAGTCGGCAACCTTCAAAACGTGTTGACTTTGCAAGATATATATCTTAACTTGCAAAGCAAGTTGTCTATATGTGTGGCACATACTTAGCTTATTCTGCAAGCTACTAACATATTGTTAACTTGTTGACCAAGTTTCTAACCTATCAATCAACTACAAACATATGTAAAGTCAAAACAACATCTATGAAGCTTCTAAGAAGCTCTTTTAGAAGGTATTATAAAATTAACCTATTTTTATTTACTTCTATCTAATCATATAGGTATTTATTAGAATACCTATATATATCTGTGATACCAAGCTTGCTAGAATATGTCATTATCTCATTTTGATTTTGTGATTACATATCAACTAAAAAAGCAACAAAGACCATTAGATGTTTTATCAAAGAAATCATACCTTGCTTTAAAGGCCAAAGAAAAAAAAAATTAATCAACAATATACCACTCTCTTGAAGCCAAAATAATTTTATCTTTGTACTATTTCTATGATTATACTTGTTGATTCAATTTTTTTCAAAGAAATTTGTATAGTGTGAGCTAAAGACTAATTAATTTGTAATATCAAGCAGTACGCTAACTAAGAAAAGTTTAAGTTTTTGGAACATCTTTTGTATTTTTAAGATTGTTTATATATTTTGGAAGGACCAATGCAACTTTGTGTTCTTTAATCTTATCATGACTTTCCAGTTGTAGGACATTTTGGATTTAACAAAACATTGGAACTTATCTCTCAAGATTTTTAGTGGCGTTAAATGTAGAAGTCCATGAAGGACATTGTTTTCTCATAGAATTTCCAACATCATCCTTATGGACTTCTACAGCCACTTCTAATCTCAAAGCAACTATGGTCTTTAATATTAATGGATTTTGTTATTGATGTGCTACTATCAGCTACATTTGATTCTATCTACATTGTTGTAGATTGACTTACAAAGATAGCATATTTTATTCCATGAAAAAAAGGTAAGTCAAATAGTATTTATAATGTACCATCAACTATCAATAAGTTAACTGGACCTTATATTTATCTTGAGTTAAATTTGCTTATAATAATATTTTTTATGCTTTGACTCAAAAAACACATGTTTATTTCAATTATGGTTACTATCTAAAGCTTGATTTGTTTAGTTATATCAAAGGATGAAAATCTAGTAGTTGAAGATCTTATAAAACAATTGTTATAGCTCCAAACAATTTTGAAGCTTTGTTTACAAGTAACTCAAGATTCTTATAAAACATCTTTAAAAAAATTTAGAAAAAAATCCCTTGGTTTTGAAGTTAGAAATAAAGTATGGCTTCTTTTACAAAATATCAAGACAAATTGGACTTACAACAAGTTGGACTACTAAAGATTGGCATCATTTTATATTCAAAAACAAATCAATCTAATTGCTTATTGGTTGGAACTACCCACATCTATAAAGGTACATCTAATCTTTCATGTTTTTCTCTTAGATACTTATTCAAAATCAATTATTCTAAAAAGCATACAACCATCACCTCCTTGCATTGAAATAGATAATCATGTAGAATGAGATAGAAAAGATCCTTGATTCTTCATGAAGAAGAGACAAGTTGGAATATTTTATTCATTGATGCAACTATGATATCAATAAGCGTATGTGAGAACTAGCAAAAAAATATAATTAATGTGCTGCAAAAAGTATAAGAATTTCATTGATGCTATCCTCAAAACCTAAACCTATTTTAAGATGAGTTCTTTACAAAGTTACTACTAGGATGTAGTATATAACAAAGAAAGTAGATATGAAACCAATGTTCTTTGTAGAACTTGGAATTAAAAGAAGAAGTGATGTTACGAACATCCAACAAGAAGATTCTAAAAATATTTTTAAAATATTGTATTAGGTTTTAAAATGTTTGAAAAGATTCTTAAAAAGTTTTAGAAGATTTTTAGAATATTTTAGGAGATTCTAGAAAGTTCTAAGAAGATTAAAGAAGTTGTCCAAGAAACTTCTTAGGATTGCTTCGTCTTCAAGCAACAAGGAACTTCTCAAGGAACTTCTTAAGGTTGCTTCATCTTCAAGCAACATGAGAACTTCTGGAGAAGCTTCCTAATACCTAGTATATATTAGAGCTAAGGCTAAAGGAATCTTCAATCTCAATGATACATCTCTTGAAGCTTTAGTTCACATCTCTTAGTGTTGATCTTGTATTCATCTGATTTAATCTTCTCGTTAGTTTTTTTTATTGAAACTCTTCTGTTCAACTTCTTCTTTGATCTCTTGTATAGTATATGTGTAACAATAACTTATCTAAGATAATGTCTTCTATAAGGTAACTTATTTTATTTTCACTTTTATTTTCTTATTAATAGTAGATATAAAGATTCAATGGACCATTATAAGAAGACCTACATTGCAAAAAAATTACCTAGCCATAGATACCTAATGTTAAATGGCTTGATTATCAATAAAACATCATGTGTGCAATTGAGATGATACAATAACAATCAAACATCTTTAAAACAAAAGACAATGTTTTTTTTTAATTTTATTTATTTAATTTCTATACTTCTTAGCCATATTATCATTCAATTAAAAACCTATTGTTTGTTGATGAATAATATTTGTGAAATATATTTATATTATTATATAAAATAATTGCAATACTTGTATCATTATATTTTGTATTGTTACATGTACGTAAAGTTCAACATTTGTATTCTTGGTATAATTGGCATATTGTAATTAAAAAAGCTTGAGATTTTTCAATAAAAAAAAATTAATTAAGGTCAAAGTGGTTCTAAATAAATGATATTAATGTTATTTTATTTATGTTTAAGAATTTGCATAAAATTCCCAAATGTTTAATTTCTACCTCTTCATACAACAAATTCTACAATTACAAATTTAACAGACTAAAATCTAAGTCTGTTCTTTTAATGCAAATATTGCAGCATGCATGTGTATATATATATCTTTATTTAATTTATTTACTTATTTATAATTACTCTGTTATGTCAATTGTAGATGGATCGTTTGAATAATTTTTTAAGTATATATTTAAGTAGATATTTAAGTGGTAGCTAAAACTAGGCGATTGATTGTCTTGGCCACCTGACAGTCTAAATCCAGAATCCTTCATGAGTCAATCCTAGTTCAATCCAACTCATGAGCGAACACAATGATAAAATATCACAGATGAAAATAAGTACGCTACATAAATTTACCCAGCACAACCACGCACCCTCGCTGCAGAGGCTTGCAATATAATGAGTATGAGAAGCTAAACAAGTAAAACAAGTCCAGCCTTTCGTGCCCCGAGATCAGATCCAGGAACCGTCGCAGTAGCAGCAACAATAAACAACCAAGTGGAAACTGCCTTTTGTCATGAGAGACTTATCACAAAACCCTATTCCAGAAAAATAAGAATCACAGAACGTGATCGATACCAAGCGTATGCTGAGGAATTTGAGAGACTCTCGGAATCTAGAACCGGGTACACAATAATGATTAAAACTAAACCTCGTCTGAAACTATTGATAGTACATGAAAGATCTCTTCAGCCAGCTATATAATTACAGCACTCAGAAGCGGTTACTACCTACCCTTGACAAGCTAACCATGCGACCACCAGCGTCTGCTTGTTGAACTCCCCGGTTGTTAATCCCAGATGCTGGCCCTGCCTGATAAGGTGTTCGGCCTGCACTGCTGTAAGCATCCTGGTAACGGGTGCTCTGGTAGCCACTGTTGTAGCCGCTCCTTCCTTGATTACCACGGTTGTAATTGTTAAAGCCACCCTGGTTGTCTCTCGCACCCCGTCCTCCGGCCTGGTTGTCACGTCCACCGCGACCGCCTCGGTTGTTCCTAAAACCACTGCGGTTTCCTCCAAAATCACCCCCACGTCTGCCACCCGCTGCATCAGCGTAGTCTTGACCCTCCTTGTTACGTCGCCCTAATCCCTCCAAGCCACCGCCACCAGTGCGAGCATCGAAAGCCTTCTCGTTGCTCTCCACAAGCACATTCAGCTTTTCAGCGAACTGGGAGGCCAATGCCTGCAGCCGAGTGGGTTCCATATTATGGGTCACAACGCACCTGGTGGGCTGGTCCCAGCTCGCGTGAAGCTCCTCTGCGATCATCATCTTGCTTACGATACTATGCACCTGGGCCTCCGGCAATCCAAACATCACCATCAGCTGGTCCAGGCTCAATGACTCGAAGTATGGGGAGTACGTGAAGATATACGTCCGCAGGGCTTCCTCTTGCAGCTTCTCCTGCAACATCTCCATGATCGATTCCCGCTGCCCAAGTAGCCTCCACACGTCCATGCTCTGAATCACTTCCACTGCCTTCTTCCAATCACCTTTGCTCAATGCCCGCGTCGCTGCCATCACATGGTCACGCACGTTCTCTGGAGGCCCCGTGAACATCTGTTTCTCATTGATATCCAGCAGCCTTCGAAATGGCTTGCTGATCATTTTGCGCTTCATATCATGCACGCTTGATGCCATGTTAGGAACCTCCAAGAGCATTGCGGTGATCAGATGCACCGCCTCTAGTAGCTCTAAGTTGATGTGCATGTGAAACGGCATCTGTCGTCTTCTCTCCAGTTTCTCCTGCTCGGGATTCTTCTCGTGGTATCGACTCTGTGATACTCCCTGCGCTAACAATTCTTTTACGCGACCCCCGGCATATAACTCTGACAGACAGTTGTGCGCCTCTGTCACCAAGGACTCACGGAATGCGCACAATCCCAGCTGAGCCATCGCCCTGTTGAACAGAATTTGCGTCGAGATGTCCATGTTCATCACGGACTCCTGCAGATGACTCATCAATAGCAGGTCACGAGCAGTGTAAAACTCGTCAGAAATAGCGTGCTGATAAATATCGCACAGCATGGCTCGAGCCCTCGTTCGCTCATCCCCATGCTTGTAAATCAAGGTCACCAGCTGATCCATCAGCTTCCTATTGACGCTTGGAAATGAGGGCCTGCGCGGAACGATCTCGGGGGTCAGCACGAAGGGAGCAGGCCCCTTCGTTTCCGTTGATGCCTTCATCACCGCTTCACCGTCCTTCTCCTCGCCATCCTCGCCTGCCACAATCTCCGCAGCTGCACCACCTACACGGCTCTGCAGCTCCGACAGCTTCCTCATAGCCTCGTATACCTCCTGCGGCTTGTAGTACACATGCTCCACTCGCCTCAAAGCTACTCGAGCGGCTGCCCTCATGTCACCCAGTCTCTCCACATATGCCTGCACATTCTGGGCCAGTGTCATGAATAAAGGCTCGTCCCGAAGCCGCTCCACATAATCCTTGGTGTGTGGGTCGATGCACTGCAGGCTCTTAAACAATTCGTCATCGATACGCTCCAAGAAGGCAACCATGTTACCCCACACGTGAATGGATCCCTCGTAATCTGCTCCCTTCTCTGTCTCGTTCTCTGCCTCAGGTTCAGAGGTCTCGTCCATTTTGATGTTCGGGTATTGTGCTAGAATATCCAAAATTACCAGCACGTTCTGCACGCACTTCTTCCATACGGCAATGGGCATGTGTGTGTTCAAGCTTGGATTCACGTCAAACTGCGCGGACACTACGTGCACCATCACCTCCAGCTTCTGGGCGGGCGTCTTCGCACACCTCGCCAGGTAGGACAACTGCTCCACCTGCTCGGCACGATCTGTACCCTTTCGTCCACGAGCCACGATGATCTCCTTCAGCTTCTTGTCCACCATCTCCCACGAAATCTGGCCGGGATCCATTTTCGGAAACATCTCCTTTGGTTTCTTCTCGGCAGACGTCCAGCCCCCTCCATCGTCCTCTTGCTCCTCATCCTCTTCATCCGAATTCATTGTGCGTTCCACAATGTCATCGTCACTGAATCCATCGGCTGATTCGGCATCCTCATCGTCTTCATCGATCTCATCTTCCACTTCTGATTCCGGGTTAGCCCTAAATTTTTCGATATCAGCCTCGAACAATTTGTTATTCTTTTTCAGCTTTTGTTTCATGTAATTCAATGACTTCGCATTGCTGGGGCTCATCTTCTTCTTCGCATCCTTGTTCACCAGAGTCGCATTCAAAAAGTCCTCAAGCATCACAAGGGCCTTAATATAAATGCGAGGTGCGGTCACAGATTCTGTCACCCGGTTCACCTTCTCCAACTGCTTATTTAGCCGCTCAAAACTTTCTTGTAGCTGAACCCAATCGTTGATTTTCATGTAATTTTTCATTTGCTCTGTAGTCTGCACCAACTCGTCGAACCGCTTGTCCTTAGCAGATCGAACCATCCGAGGACCTTGGTCGTCAGATTCATCACTGTCTGAATCACCTTGAAGGTACTTTGATGGAAGAGCACCTCCACCCTCACCACCGAGGGGGATGTCATCTTCGAGATCGGATACTTCCTCCTCCTCGCTCTCGCTATCACTCTGTATTCAAACAGAAAATTCAGCCCAATTCCAAATCCACCCTATCATAACAGTATGCTCTTCACCTCACCGACGACCCATAGATTCAGTGCACTCTCTCGGCATCCCAAGAATATCAGCATATAGGATCATATGCGCTTGTTACTAAAACCCTAACTTCCTGGATACCAAGACTGAAAAGCACATCGTGCAAAGCCACTCTTACTGTATTCAGCAGACGGCATTACATGAAAGACAGGAAAACCCTGTAAAATTTAAAGTACAGAAAAGCAACCGAAAATGCCATAAACCGCACGAAATTGAGCTAAAAAGTTTAAAAATATACTAGAATGAAACCTAACAAGAGAGAGAGAGAGAGAGAGAGAGAGAGAGAGAGAGAGCTATATCACAAAAAACTAGAGAACTTACATTTTGAGTCCAAAAACGGGACGCCATGTTGAAGTCTCTGGATGAAGCGGGCGATATCAAACTGGAAAACAAAGCACGAGAGATTGGGAGCGAACGCCGTGACGATGGGATTGAGGAAACGCGCGGTGCAAGGAGGTGCGGCGCAGAGCAACAACCTCTCGAAGAGATCTTGCCGAGGGAGATTGAGGCATATGACCCTCGCCAAACCCTAGTTCATCCATGAGCTTCCGCAAACAACTAATTCATCCATTTTTCATTCATCAACAATTCGGTTTTCGCAACCAGAACGGCCCAAGCCTGAAAGGTACAAAGTCAAAGAAAAGTTGAGTAAAAAATAAGGATTCGTAATCAATGCATCTTCAATAGCAATGAATTTTCTTCTAAAATCTGGTTTAATTCAAATTTAAAAACCGTAAACAAATATTACAATCGTTAGAAGTATGTCTTTGTAAGAATCTATGTCTTTTAAAGTCTATTCATTCTTTCTTCTTATTTTATTTTTGGATTTAGACATTAGGACCAAAAATTCATAAAAAGTTTCACACAAGTTCTCATCTCACAGACTTTGGTGTGCATTGTCGCACAAGCAACACTGACCTGGAATGACTGCCGTGCACAACAAGCATCGATCATTAACCGAATTACCCGCTCCGTGTCCCACTCCCTCCGTCTGAGGTTTCAATCCCATGCCTCGGTTGCACTGCCATTTGTTTCCCTTCCCCTAGTTGTTTAGATTGCAGCTAAGTTTAGGGGGCCAGGTTCTGGCGACGAGAATCACGACAAGGGAGTGCCGCACAACACAGAACAGTCTAACACAACGCCTCGACTTGTGTGCATGCAAGGCTCCCTGACAGAGGAAAAACGGTTTGAGAAGCTAAAATAAATTTTGAAAAAAAACAACCGACACACACGACCTATTGATACCCTGGATCAATATCCAGTTTTCAATGCCCTGTGCCAAGTCAAACCTGGAAACACATCCACCTGAATACTGGAGAATGTTTTTATGGAAGCCCGATTATTGTGAAAGGACATTCGGAAGTTTCTGAGACTGCAGGTTTGGAGCCGAAACGTCCAAATTCGACATCAACTGGGATCTGAGTTGGCATGCCAAGTATCCCATAAGATACGCCACATCAGCATAGTTTGGATATTTATTGTCCTAGTTGGCAGGTGCATTGCGACCTTCCGAGGCTGTATCATTCGCGAACATTCCAGAACACAGTTGAAGCTTCCTGGGCCTGTTCTTTTCCAGAGACTTGAACCGCACTTTGCTGTTTCCCCATACAAATTGCCCGTTCTGCATCGGCAAGCCAGTGTCCCGAGTGTTTGTTTTGATTCTGTGACGAGGTGTGAGGCTTAGCGCTGTAGTAGGTGGTTGTGGATACGTGGTTACATTTTTGAGGAGGGTCGTTGTGATCTCATCTAAAGAGATTCTTCCCTAAATCGGAGTAGAGTCGCTTGTTTGTTGATTGGATTGATTGTCGCTGTGAGGGAGAAGTTGAAATACGTAACAAATTATGGGAGGAGGACTTTTTGATAGTATGTTGGATCCTTACAGCACTGCGTGCATGTATCCTAGGGCGCAAACGAGGGGTCGGTATTATCGGCCAAGGTCTCCTGCGTATGATTATCCTGGTTTTACTGGGATGCCAGAGAATCGCGTCTTTTCGAGTGAGGTTAAGGAAACTCCTGTTGGGAGGGCTGTAAGGACGATTCCTGTTACAGATGGAAGTGCACCTGTGGCGATGTCGCGAAACGTGGATCGAGTAAAGACGCCGCCTGAGCTTGAGAGGTTTGCGAGTAAGGAGCTAGCCGCAAGGAAGATCCAAGCTGTGTACCGTGGTTATTCCGTGCGAAGGACTCAACCTCTGAAACACTTGAGATTGACCATGAAAGTCAAAGAGGAGCTGAAGAAGTTGAAGTTGAAGTTGGAAGGGGAAGAACAGAGGAAAAAGCTTTGTAGTGACCCGCAGGAAAGAATTAGGTGGACGGAAGGTGTCATGGCATTGCTATTACGGTTGGATCAGCTGCAAGGTGCGCATCCGGATGTCCGAATCATACGTAAGGCAGTAGCAAAAGAACTGATAGCATTACAGGGACAGCTCGATTCCCTCTCCGATTCCTCTGAAGAGCACAGTGTTGGAGATGCACCTGAAGAGAACATTACCATGCGGGATGCAGCGGGTGAAGGGACGAAAATATTTCATGATGACGCAAACATTCCTGCTGTAGAAACCACGGAGGGAGTGGAATTCAAGAACAACATTTCGCAGGAATTGAATGATTTTGAAAATAAGAACTTTGCACCGACAGTACAGGAAGCAGATGATATCCATTCTGCCCTCGAGGTCAATCAGACTAAGTATCAGAGTTCTGTATTAGAGGAGGGCAACGAGATGGATGAGAATAATTCTGATGACATCAAGGTCAATGAGAATTTAACACCGGAGCATCAGTTACCTGTGGAGGTGAGTGCCTCAGTCGCCGCAGATTGTCATGAACAAGCTGCTTCGTTCCATAGACCAATAGGTGAGAGCGCGAATACAAATGTGGAACGAGTTTTGGAACCATGCTCTTCAGAGACTTCTTCTGAGATTTCAATTGGTGAAGGAAATGAAGAAAGAATGCTGGGTTCAAATCCAGCCCTCGACTTGGCAGAGGGAGATAAGGGAAGTGTATTTCGCACGGAAAATCACATTACCGGAGAGGGCTGTCAAATAGACGATGCAGTGGCAAGTGCACCCTGTAAAGATTCTACTGAAGATCCAATCGCAGTCAAGAATGAGGCAACAGTTCCTGTCGAGAATGATCGCAGCAGTGAGTTGGGTCACACCACGAGGAGTGAAGCAGAGAGACCAATGATTGAAGTTGAAAAGCCAGAGCTCAATACTGCACCAAACTCTTCCGTGGATGGTTTCTATCCTGATGCTCTCATGCGTCTGGAAGGGAGAGAGGATGATGCAGGACTGCCGGATCTAGGTGGAAGATGGATGATTTCAGCAAGTCCTTCGAAAACTCCTTGTCTGGAATCGCAATGCGCTGCGAGTTTGGAAGTTGGTCAGTCTCAGTCTCCAACTGCAGAGAATTGTAATGCTTTGTCGAACCGTGCGCTGCTGCAGCAACTGCTCGAGGAGAATCGGAAACTGAAGGATGTCGTTGGGCAAGTGTTACACTGGGGGAAGCAACAGAATGATATTATTTACAATTTAGCTAGCCGGATCGAAAAACTGGAGGAACACCGGCCCCAAGCAAACATGTTGCATGAGGAGAAAAACAAGGGCAGGAATGGAAGTAGCACTGAAACATATTTGGCTGGCGATAGGGGAAGATCACTCCCCAGGATGGAGAGAAATCGCAGGAAAGGAAGGTCGAGGCATCGGTTCCAATTAGGTTACTTAGATCCAGAAAATTGGCTCTCGGCAGATTCAGACGAATGTTTTTGAATCTAGAATTAGAGACTAGTTGATGTCCGCAAAATCATGAACATAAATACAGTTTTTTTTTGTGAATAATATGTTCAATTTACACCTCAAATACAGGTTCTCAGATCATGATTGCGAAATTTCATAAAAAAATCTAGAATCTTGTTTGTAACCATTTGTATTATTATTTCAAAAAAAAATATGTGTAATTTAATTTTTTTAATTTTTTTTTCTGAGATCTATTCTTTGAACATAGATGAATCAATGGCGTTTATGTGAATACTGAATAAGTATGAATACAAATTGTTATATGTCTTTTTAGAAATCAAAAGTATAACTTAAATGATTGTCATGTAATGAATGTCTAAAGCGTGCAACAGCTCTTGAAGCTCATTGTACTCGGAACAACAGATGGATAATGTGTCAGCATAAGATCAAACCCAAGTTCTGTCTCAAATACAAACACTTTCTTTGGTTACACTTCCAAGAGTATTCCGAAAAAATTAATTAAACAGAACAATTAGTATTGTCATGTGAAATTTCATACCAATCCTCACTAGTCTTCAGTTTTCACCGAACACACTCCTGTGCAAACGATTCAACCATTTTTTTTCCTTTCAACTTGTTCAGGTAGGTGCACAGTTTTACCAGGAATATTGAACGAGGCACTGAATTATTGTCATGCTGTAATTAGTCAACTGCTGCAAACTTCTTGGTCGCGCTTCATTTTCATGTATCATACTTGAACAATGTGCCAGTTCAATGGCTACAGAACAGACAAGCTAAATAGTAAAATACAAGCTATGCATTGTAGCAATAAAGTAAATGAGGATATTCTAAACAGGTGGAATAATATACATTACAAACCCACAAACCAGAGAATTGGATTGTACCTACGAGTGCTCGTCATCAAGCTCAAGCCCTTCGGCTTCCAAAAGTTGTTGCACCAGCTTCTTCTGTGCTTCTTCTCGTGCCTTCCTATTCATTATGTCCCGCTTCTTCAATACGAGTGCTTGTCGCCTGATAGTATTCTCGAAGTTCGCTACAGATGCAGCCTTCTCACGAGCAAGGATGCGACGCTCTTCTTCCGGATCCACCTGCATTACTCATCCACTCTTAATCAAGTCTTACAATACAAGTACAACTGATAAGATGCCACAGTTATTAGTTCATACGCTTCTGGTACGAAATGCTTTCCTTACCTCCTCAAAGCAAGGAAAACAACTACGAGGATCTTAAAAAGCTTGACAGAAGTGGCACATAACACGTGTTTGTTCGCCAGCTTTTTAAGCCTAGGGATGAGATAAACAGTAGACCAGACCCTGTTAATCAGCAAGATTCCTCATTGTGAGATACACAACATGACTATGCCGCGGTACCTTGTCTCGGGCGGCACGACGAGCTTTCAGATTCAACTCACGCATCTGTTGCTCAGCCCATGCAGATGCCGCCATTTCCCCTCTTTGTTCAAAACTCTTCCTCTTCTTAATCACCCAATCCATCCAAGCAGACGACGCCTGTGCACACCAACAGATTATAAATGCGCAAGTACACCAACGACGAACACATAATTAGGCAAATCTGATCAGCTTTCGACTCTCATAATGCCCTTCCGAAGAACAGAGAAAATACTCACTGTTATTACTCCTAGAAGAAGTATTTACCAACATTTAATGAACATGTCCAGACATGACGATTTAGTACATAACCAGTGTCCTTTCACAACAGATAGTTCAAAAGGCATAGAACATTTTCAAACGGATTCATAACGAAGGGTCCAATCCAAAACAAAAAAACCCCACGTATGGTGCACTGAATTCACCTTCAAGGGGTTCGTTCGATGGTCGATATCATATTGTCGGCGCTGGTCACGGTCCATAAGCAGTTCATATGCCGCCTGGATCTGAATAAAGTAAGATTCTGGAGTCTCTCCTTTTTTGAGTTCACCACTCCTTTGGTTGTACACTGCAGATATAGCATATAACCGAAAAGGATTACACAAGGACATATGTTGAGGAACTAATCTTTCCAGAAAATTTCCTTAACACCAGAGAAGCTTGGCAGAATCGTGGAATCCTTGTTTACTCACTATAGAGATATACCAAAAACCACAACTCACCGTCGGGGTGGAACTGCTTGGCCATTCGACGGTATGCTCCTTTAATCGTATTCTCGTCTGCGTCCCTTTCAACTCCTATTCTCTCGAAACACATACCCCGAATAGACACACCAAGTCTCCATTCAGTAACGAAGTCCAAAACATGAAGTTAAAGAGAGGAACAATCCTACAATATCTGCATAATTACTATTCTCAATTCCAATGCTACGACACACAAGCTCGAACTTTTGCCCTTTCACAGATTTTAAGTTCCAATTTGCCAAGAACTCTAATTATTCTTACTGAAACTGTACTCCATTAAGTTAATGCATATGAGCTTTCCAGTCGTCTGCAACTCAACTCTTCACTACGCCAACTAGTTGCAACATCCAGACACCGTGACGCTCACCTAAAGTTTCATAAGGTGATTGATCTGCATCCCATCCCAAATTCCGAACCGCGTATGTGCGCGTCCAATTACGCTGGTCCTTCCACCGCAGCGACCCCTTCCGCCTCCGGTTTCGCGGTGTTTCCAGCGCATGGTTGAAACCCGAAGCGCTGCACGAACTTCCAGGTGAGGAGCACAATCCCCTCGAGCCATGAGCTACCGCGGCAGAATCCAAACAGAGCTGCGGTTTCAGTAGCCCATGCCTCGGACGTGACCTCACGGCGTACCACGCACAGAAAGACGACAGAGGAACTACGAACAGCGGCCCCGCACGCGACACGGTCGACATTGTCACCATTTCCACACGGATTCCAAACCTCCTCCTTCACCACAATTACGACCTCCGCCAGCGCCAACCCTAAATCGGAGAATTCGTCTACATCCGAACACACACACACACTCACACTAACACACTTCCACTAACATGAAGCTCCGGAACAAAATCGGCGTGAATTTCTGAGATTCATACCACTCGGCAGTGGCACCATCGTATGGTTGGTAAGTGCAGGTCAACAAAGGAAGGCCGAAACGCCTGATCCTAAATTTGGCACTGCTCGCACTGATGTTGTATTGACGGAAAGCTTGCGATATGTGAACGAATGCGCTCTGAAACCTTTCTCATTCACATGTTTCCTCAGCTCGAATGCAGAAAGTTCTATAGTATAGATTGCTTCATTTCGAGGTGCGGCAGTTTGCAAATTCTTGCACTAGGTAGTGGCATCAGTCTAATAGAGTGTCTGGGAAGGTCTAAAAGTAATAAAAGCAAGTTATCACCGATATTGTCGACTGGATTCATGTGAGTAAAAAGCTGTGCCGTGATCTGTGCTTAATTTAATTTTAAAAATAAGATACTCTAGTTTTTAGGGAGCTACAATGAGAGTGATCTCATGGCAGTGCAAAACAGGGGTAAAAGAGACCACGTGGAACACGACAACAGAATAAAAACTATAAAATAAAAATAAATAAAAAATTGCCTCGCATCCAAACAGCCGATAAAACAATGGACGATTGTGGTAAGCTAAAATGATAAAGCTCCAGAGACGTCCAGATCAAACTGGGCCTTGGCACCTGGGTAATGCCACTTCCATTAGGAAGTACCATTCCAAAGTGGCCGGTTTGCATTAATCCAGAAATATGTGAATATATACAGAGTCCTTTCACAAGTCTCTCGGACTTGTTGCAGTCTGAAGGAGAACATGCGAGCTTGGAGAGGAGTTCACGAATACCTGGCACAAAACTTGACACTGGAATGATTGAACCCAGTACATAAATACATGTAAATAAATACGTTGTAATCGAGAGCTAGCGTGAATCATCGCTGCTCGGAAGGTTTGGAACAAATACGTTGATGTCTTCAAAATGACTGAGGGTCTGACTTGTAGTCTACGAAAGTAGACCGAAGCAGAGATTCATTACAGCCGAGACGATTCATTGCCTGAGGTTGAAATAGTCCCGCTCCTTTGTGGGTTAATGTGTTGAACACATGGAGCTGAAGAGCTCATCGTACCAGCCAAAGTCTTAGGGTACGAAGGCTCTGGAAATTTCAGTCTCAGAAGGAGCATCGCCAGGAATGGAGAAAGGCAAAAAAAAAGGAAGGACCTTCATTTAGTGTGGGCATCATAGATTGCAAAGATGCTTTCAGAAACTAAGAGGGGAAGCTTGTCGATGTACATGAAAAGTCTTTGCAAGTTGTCACGGGCAATAGAAACCATGTCTTGGATTTCGCCAGAATCTGTAAATATCCATAAATCTCGAGAATCCACTCGCTTCAAACTGTCACGGCAGAATGGACATGATTGAGAACGAGCATGCCTGCACACACCGTCCAACTGTCAATGGAAAAAGCAAGCGTGTCCACGAACCCAGACGACAGTTACAATGAAAGTGAATTTACAAAAGCTCAAAAATGCTAGAGTAACGATAACTACTCGAGGTATAATCCACAAGAGTGCTAGAAATCAAGGCGTAAAAGAAGACGATTCCAACTCTGAATCGGCTTGAAGTCACGAAACGCTCCCCAAAATATGCACCATCAAATCATGATAAAGACACTACATTCGTGATACTCATGTTAAGCAGATCCTGGACAAAGATGAACAGTAACTAGCGAGCCTGGAATCTAAGCTAGAAAGCAATCGATAGCAACATACACTACCGTCGGTGTTGAAGGGCAAACCTCGCATTCCAACTAAATACATGGAGGGATTTATCTCTGTATTATCGTCAACCGTACTGATTGTTTGTCGTGTAACCTCCGTGTGTCCTTTAGAGCAAGGTACTCAATGACATAATGTGGTACATACAGGAAGAAATTGTAGGAACTGAGGGATACAAAAAAAGCTAGAGCAACAAGTATTCCCTGTAAAGTCAAGCACCATCCATTAGGACTAGCTGCTGGATAAGTGTAGGAATATACCATTCACGATAGCATTTAAGGCACATGGCATGGTTGCAATCAGGAAGCGCAATCTTGGTATTGGTCTCCATGCAGATGCCACACTCTTGCTCACGTTCTAGGTCAAGCTCTGACATGAGACCGCGCTCTTCGTCCACTTTTTTCTTGTACCGCTCTTGACACACAGCCTTTTGCTTCATATCTTCCATCTCTGTAATACCACCTTGCAGCTGCTGCAGTGAAGGGTATATATAGGCTGCAGGGAAAATTCAGACATGGTGTTATAATGTATTATGTGAGAAAGAAAATTGTAACTAAACATAACGGAAATAACACAGCTATGAACTTTTATGGTCGTACGTCGTTCATTCTTCAGGCTCTCGATACCCTCCGCTCAGAAAGTGGACAAAAGTTTAAGTAGGGCTTCATGCGTAAAACATAAAGGACGCTGCAGAATAATGCTGAGGGGAAATAAACATACAATAGAACTCACGAAGACTAGCTTTTCTCTCATGTGTTGACATTGTTGTGGTCCCGTCGAGGTACACCTTCATCCAAACAAAAATCTCAGATACTTGTCAGAACCTTAAAAATACGCACCAATGAACTAACATTGACGTCTCAAATTACAAACCAGCCCAAAAAATGTAGGGCTATTAATAAGAAACTACATTCCTGGAGACTGCCCCAATTCGTCAAACCGGTTGAACTGCAATTACGAACTCGTCGAGTAAGTCTACAATCAAAGAAAACTTCAGTTACTACTTGATAAATGATAATCCCACTCAAAAGTTTGCTCAAGTCAATGTAGAAAACGGGTTCCACATTCTCTCATCCGAAAGCAGTGGTCATTACCAGCGTTGGGACCGAACCTGGAAGCATTATTCACTGTCTAGACTACTCCATTTAAGAAGATGGAAAGGCCTAAGAAAATTTTCTACACGCTAACGTGATAGATTATTCTACGTAACGACCACCTATCCAGGTACTGGTCAAGCCCTTGCGCACACACGCGCGAAAGCACAAAAACAAAGACTCGGAAAGCCCAGGGCGAAACATCCCACGAAGAACTAAAAACTTCGTAAATGTACCAACTCCTGTTCCTTGTCATTACCTTAACAACTCCACTTCACCTCTTGCATGATGAAAAAAATCGTGAATAAATACGACCGAAACTCCCTAAAATAAGCCACGGGATAAAGAATGCTGGTTAGATTATGAGAGCAAAGCACCTTGTATATGAGAATTCTTAGAAGCCCAAGGGCACCAGCCAGACTGCAGTTCGTCCACCGAACCAGAAAAAGCAGGAAATGAGCAGCAGGACTGTATGCCAATCTCATTTGAAGACACGCTCCGTCATAATCTCTTGGAAACTCTGATGCCCTGCAAGAAAAACTCCAGTTTCGTATCATGACTTTTCATCCGACGCTGGTACCGATTCAGTTGCTGAGTGTGCAGTGGAACTTATTATCTCTCTTCGTACACAAGGAAAAACTGCTGATGAACTCATGACACCTTTCCGATATCGCGAGGCTTAACGACAAAAACAAACGAATATATACACCTTATTTGGCATGTCTAAGATCTCATCAAAAAAATCAACGTTATGCCAATCACTTGTCCGAGACGGATCAAAAATCTAACAAACAATCAGGAACGGGTAAAACATGCAGGAGTGCGCCACGACACAGGAGCACAAAGAAAGGGCAATGCCGAGGGCTACCCCAAAGTGGAAACGACATATATTCGAAATAAGCGTTTTTTTTTCTAGGAGAAATCCACATATCTATTCCTATTACACCAGAAAGGCAAACGACACGAGAAGATAAGTAAAAAAATGAATGCACTGGAAGAAAGAGGTAATCGAGCTTACAGAGTATTAGCATGTTGAATGTCAGCCTCCAAGGACTTGAGAGACTCCTTGTAGGACTTCCCCAGGCCCATTCCTAGGAGAATCATCGCGCTGCTTTTCCGAAAGTTCTCGAACTGATTGTTGATGCCAACAACCAAAAGTAGGAAAACCTTTCTACTTGAGAAAAAGCAAGGCACTGCCTTCGAGAACTCTAGTATCCAAATGTATTGCGAAAAGACCTCAGGAACTGCACTTTAGCTACAAAACTTACAATCTAACGAACAGGAACTAGACCAGCAAAAGATGAGGAAATATGGCAGGGACAGCCTATAAAGACCTATGAAAACACCAAACAACGGCCCAGGATACTAAGTTATTGTAGTCATTTACAAACCCTCGCTTCTCTCTCAACATAAATGTACAATATTCAACAATATTCAAGATAATAAGCCCCAGTATCTTCCCACTCTGCAACCGTCGAGACTATGACCCAACGAACAGTTCACCTCCCACAGAGTCCTAATGACAAAAAGTATTACCGATCTAAGAGCCTGCTTTGACGAGGCTGCAGCACCGTCAAAAGCTCCAAGGGAGTCAATTCCACCGAAGACACTCTAAGACCATAACAGCGCAAATTATCTCAACCCTGCGTTGCTGAGTACGTACGGTCCCGACAGCAGTGGAATTTTCCGGAAATCCAATTTTGAGAACTATCGGACAAAAGTTGCGCAGAATATTCTCATTTTTGAACCACTTGAAGTCTCGTCACTGTCTCCGGAACTGAACGGCAACCCTCAGAATCGCTTTACAGCAAATGCCACCATATACAGAAATATAACGATCGAGGAGTCATCGTTTCGTATCTGATCGCGGACGACTGCGTGAAAACTTCATGGCCTCCACTGCAGCAATGCAGAAAGACTCCAATGTTGAGCCTGTACACTCTTTACAAAAACGTGACCAAGCAATCGTCTAGGACGCTGATTTGGAGTTTCTCCAAACATCGACGTAATGGACACTATGCTTCTACTTGAAATAATCAAGAAGCGTGTACCAAGGGTGATATCCTGTAAAACACTCAACTGTCTCATCAAGCACCAAACAGCCTCCACTTCCACGGGAGAAACAAGGGAGTTACATCAAAACTGGAGGAAATGTCTGGGAATCATTTGATGAGGACCATAACTGTCCAGTATTCAGCTCCTCGGCGATAAAAAATTCATTGAATTTTTGTTCTTTCCTCGTACAACTGCAAACGATGCAGTCTAGGCCCACCCGATAGCAATAATACCGTACCGTGCCGGCTTGAACCGTCATTCAACTTTCGATAACTAACAAAAGGGAAGACTCCGATCATAGAAAGTGAACCCGCTCTACGGAATACGTGATGGAATAACATCAAGTTCCGCACTGCAAACAACCAAGGCCGCAATCTAAAGCCACGATAATAGACCCCCAGCGACGCAGACGACGTCCGAGAGGCTCAAAACCACCACCTCGCAATATTATCACAAAATTTATCTCCCAAATTCCCCTCCTCTCCTCCCTCCTCGTTCATCACCACCACGTCGTTCTCCTCCAATCCTCAAACTATCCGCACCTCGCACCATCTTCCCAAAACCCGTTCGTTCATCGTGCAACAACATTCTCTCACCACTCTACTTCTTGGAATCCAATCCTCTACCTCACACATGTTCTGACACAAGCAGCCACTCCAAGCGAGCGCTCGAACGTCGCCACCACCTGCGATGGCACCAAAGCCGTCATCTGCCAAACTAGTTCCTCTCCCTCTCAGCTCTTGTCTCCGTCCCCCTCTAATTCCACCTCACTGTTCCGCCGCGATTCTCAACCGTCTCAACCGGCGCGTGATCCCCTAAAACCACAACGACGTTTGCAATCCAGGCACACACAATCACAAAATCGAAGCTCCCAGCAACACGCATCGATCATCGATGCAAATGTAGGGGAGATGCTGTGAGAGAAGACGGGTAGGACCCCAACCGCTCGTCACAAGAGCCTCCTCTTCTCCATTTCTCTCCCACTCTGCTTCCCCCACTCCCGCTCTCTCTCTCTGTCTCTATTCATCGGCCAAGTCGGTACTCTGCACAGCAGGTCGGTACCTAAATAGGTCGCAAATCCTCATCCATCTACGTCTCGAACATAATACGTATGCGTATACCGTCCATCCATGTCCTCGCCTACAAAACCCATCTTGATAACTTATACAATACCACACTACTCAGGGCTGTTTGTATTTTATCACATTTTCCATCGTATATATAGATATAGAGAGGGTTTCACTATACATAAATATAAATATAAGTATATATGTATATATGTGTGTGTGTTTATACACGTAAGTATGTATGCTCGAATTGATACTATTTTGAAAATATACATCAGTATATTATAACTAGCAAACAAATAAGAATAATCATGGTAGTTTTAGACATGGGCATTTTTGTGTCATTTTTTCTTATTTTCGGTTAAGTTACTTAAAGGTACATTGGAGTAACATCCTGAAAACAAATAGCTAGACCTAAAATGATATCATGGTTGTAAAACTCTATTATTCTTCAATTCTCGAAGATGTATAGAGTATGTATCGGTGCTGCAATGTTTATACTGCTTTAAGTTTGAACTCGAAAGTAATTCATCTGATGGATTCTTTCCCACTTGCTTCTTTTAACACACTGAATTGTTTCAGTGCTATTTTGGGATGTCATACATCTTCGAATAAAAATTAATAATAATCAAAACTCATTACTGTGACCATTCATTTTGGAATGGAATGGGTTATTTATTGGATCAAGGAAATTTATTCATTAAATTAGCTATATATATATAAATAAATATATATATGTATATATATATGTTATGATCGGAGACTTCCATTTTCACATTGATCTCCGTCTTGTTAACAGCTAAGTATTTCCTACTAAGTTTTAAAACATCAGCGGAATGATAAAATGCATCTGGGGTTTACACAATAACACTATAGAGTATCAGTTTAAGATATACGAGCGCAGCCCGGGTATCGATTGAGGGGGGTGGAACGAGGACAAGGCGGTGCCCTGGGAACAGATTGGGTGTGTTGACCGTGCACAAGCTCGGGTTTAGGGCATTGCCAGAGCGCGGGCATGAAGGAGAGGCTTATCCACTCGGGCCGCACGCCACGTGATTTCGTGACGTGGCCATCTGATTAGGCATGGGAGCCACGTGGGCCTGCCAGGGGCAGTGCATTGCACCCCTATTTTTAGCTTTAATTTGGAGTTCCCTGGACTTGCTTTGTCACAAGTGGAGTGCTCTATTATTACACAAGCACTTGAGTAAAACTTCTTTCTTTTCCTGTATTCCAAAATAAAACTATTATCAGTTTAAATCCCAGTTTTTAAGTTTTACATTTATCTTGTAAATTTTAAATCATGCGTACTAATCTCTATGAAATACATATACATACATGTGTATCCAATCTTTCTTTCAGTTCCATATGCATTAAGTGTTGTCAAATTAAGTAACATAAAACTGTGAAAAGTATATTAATGAACATGTAGAATCACTCCTTGGTTTGATTGTGCATGTGCGCATTCTCGGAATTTTAACGTCTTTTGTGTAGTTTCCATCTTTTTAGAAGTTCTTCTTTCCTATCACTTCTGTCCTTTCATCTTGTTGGTACACATGCAAAAAAAAAAAAAAAAAAAAAAAAAAAGAATACTATGAGGATAAATTTGTATTTTCAAGGCATCAAGGTACATTCTATTACAGTTAATGGTTTCGACTTTTCTTTATATATATATATATATATATATATATATACTTGTTATTATTATTATTGTTGTTGTTTAGAATGATAGAGATTGGACTGCATACACTGAGTTATCTCTTCCATCATTTTATTTCATGTAGTTATGCCTTAATGAATTTTATTATACTACTAGATGAATATGTATTGTTGTTACAGAAAGTATAATTCAAATGAAGCATTTTTTGAGCTAAAGAATATTTTTCAAATACAAATACAATATAATATAAATAAAAAGAAATAAAATACACAATGGAGCTTTTAGCTACTTTGTAGGTATACCCTTGCTATTATCACGGATAACATATAAATAAAGTAATTGATTTTATTCAAGGAACTACTTGTGAAAATATAAAAGACATTAAATTATATTAAAAAATCATAAAAGTACATTAAGACATTCAAAGATGTACTAAATTCAATAAACAAATAAATTATATATTACTAATATTTATCTAATTAAAACTAATAGAAAAATCATATTTAGCATGGAATTTAAATTGTTGTTTTTAGGAAGAAGAATCTTGATAGAATGGGAGGAAGTGCATCAAGAGATTGATACATACAGTTAAAAAATAGGTTGTTATAGATCCATACTAATGAGCTTCACTGATTGTCCTTGAAATTTGTTGATTGTTATTGCAAATGTAAGACGGATAGGAAATTGTTTTTTCTTTAGAATGAACAAAAATTCTTTTGTTGTGGAAGTTAATATAATCCATGGGATGAACACCAAATTTCCAGCAAGTTTTCATCTAAGAATTCTTGCTTTAAGAACTTGATCCATTAGTCATGCAATTACCAATCAGATTCTATTGTAAAGTCCTTGGCAAGGAGCAATATTTCTTAGTAGCATCACTAGAGTTTCAATCTTAAGACAAAGCCTTGATCTGGGCATTCTAGATGGATTAAGCAACTTGATGAATTTGACTCAATAAACATTATTGTTGTCGATACCATCTTTGACAACAACTTCATCAATGCTTAATTATTCTTACTTTTTTTCTAAAAAATATGACTATAATCTTTTCATTAGTATCCTTTGTATTATTATTCTATGCAAATAAAATGATTCTATCTCTTAAGAAAGCATTATTTGCTATACTATCTTTTGTTAGCCTTAGATAAACAACATTAATTAAAGACACTAATTGTTGATCAATAATCATGTGATTAAGAAGCGAAATTACATTATTAGGCAATAAGTTTGTACCATTTTCAATCTAGCAAGTAATAAATAGAAATATTAGTCAATAATAATATTTAAATGCACCACCATTAATATAGATAATATTTGTGTGTACATTCTATAATTGAAGAAGCCAATTAGTAGATTCAATATTTGCTTGAAATGTTCTTGAATTCAACCTCATGTTTTATTTTAATGTATGGATTTTTATTTGAAGCCAAAGTATTGAACGTTGAAAAGATGTTAATACAATTTCTTCTTATATTCCTTTCTCAATCATTAGCAATATTTGGCAAAAATTTCCACCAAAAACTATTGTAGCTCTTCCAAGTGGACAATCAATATCTCAAATGACTCTAAAGGAACAATCAATTGCCTCAAGACAATAATGATATTGCAATAGAAGTTCATTCCAAATAATAAGCAAAGTTTGGCAAATAAACTCAACATGATCAAAATTCTTAATAATTGAACAAAAAGAGTCTTTATTACAGTGCGGTAGAATCTTGAACATATAATGGATGGTTCTTCATTTCTCAAGTAGCAATGCGGTAATTCTTGATGATGCAACACATATGATTTTTTTTTGCATCAATCAAAATTTAATTGCCAAAGTGTTGTAGACAAATGTCTCACTAATTCATATAGGTCTATTTAGAAAAAACATGCATCTATATTCTTCCACTATAGAGGCTATAATATCATCATATGCCTTTCTTTGTTGAAGATTCAATTGTAGAATATAATTCAAATTGTTGAATGTCCCATGCTCTATTTTTAATAATAAAATGATTTCTTTTAACTATCGTATTTTAATAGTTTTTTAATAATGGTATTGGAAGAAATTGTGCAAGCATTCTATTGGAGTCTTGTAAAATCTTATCTAGCAAAAAAAGTCCTAAATATTTAATTTATTCATCCATTGGATTTCTAATTCCATATTTTCTTTGCAAACAAGCATTGAAATCATCTAAAATGCTTTTTCAAAATCTTTTCCATAAGTTTAAAAGATTTAGTAGATTTTTGCATATTAACAAAATAACAATTAATGCCCTCAATTGAAATCTAGTTTGTGTTTTTGATGCCTCTTCTAAATATTGTTGTCATTCTATACTATCTTCAAGCAAATTTAAAGCTACACATGCACTTTTAATGTTGGATGGAAAAATCCATGAGTATTTAGTATTCAAATGATTATGGACCTTTAACATGGATTCAAAAAAATTAAATAATATATTTCTTTTAGTTTCAAATTTACAAAATATATTTGTCCAATAACAAATCCACATTTTTTTAAAGTCTATATCTTTCTTATCTTATGCCAAACAAAATTTTGTATAAAATATTAGTATGTATTTTGTCTTGCCATTGCCATTGTTTTACATGGGTCAAAAAATAAATTTAATATTTTTTTTATCTTTTAATACGTTTTAAAATTGCAGTTGCCTTGTCATTTGGATCATATACCTCTTGATGCATTCCTGGAAGATGAATGGCCAAAAAAACAACACTTAGTATTTCTTCATGGATTTGCATACTAAAAAGTTTCCAAGTAACCTTTGAAGCTCCAATGTATCTTGTATCCAAATATTGTTTGATCTCATCTTATTGGTTTTCAAATTGTATTGTATTGCAATTATGGCCTTTATAGATATACTTTTGGATCTACTTGACAACACAAATAGATGCACATATCTCAAAATTAATGTGACAATTGTACTTCTAAAATAGTTTTGGACAAAAATAAACAACATCTTTGTTGTCAACAACTATTCTTCAAACTTCAAATATTCATCTATCTTTTCTTCATTAATATTGAGGATATTCATTGATATTTATTGTTGTTTCTTCTACAAATATCTTTGAATATATCTTTATATATCAACCATCTTCCATTCAAGATTCTTGAGGATTTTGTATTTTGTATAGATTATGTACCATGCATTATAGAATGACTTCAAGTAGCTAGTAATTATTGTCTTTATCTAAATTTTTTGCAAAAACAATATAATTCACATTTTTAGCACATTTAATCTTATTTTTTGAATCCAAAATAATTAACATAGGTATATTAAATAGATTTCTTTTTTGAAACTCAATAGTATCAATATG